AGTCTTATGTATTGCAGAGGATCTGCAGGAAGCCTTCACTGGGCACAATGTAGCCCCATTTTAGGTATTCCAATCAGTTATAGGCAGAAGACGGACTTACAAGCTTTCTATGGCACCTGTTGAATTTTACACTCATCACCAACATTTTTACCCCTGCCGTCCTACCATTCCTAAAGAGTATCAAGCGCTGTTTCTCAGCGCCTGGAGTAGACCCCACTCACCTGGGCAGCTACTGCCCCTCACTCCCCCCGGCCCCATCTCACCTGGGTATAGCACTGACCTGGTTGCTTCTGAGGGTATGTGAGTTTCTGGTACCTAAATCCATGATTCCACTCCTGGTGTGGCGCTATAGGATAAGCACTGGACCGTGAACCACAAGATTGGAGGTTCAAATCCATCAGTGGCTCCTTGGAAACACTACAGGGTCACAGGGTCAGTATGAGTGGAAATGATTTAACGGCACTAAACAACAAGAAAATTTATGATTAGGGTAGAGTGATGGAGCTCTGGTTCGGCACTGTTAGATAATCACTGGACTGCTAATTGTAAGCTTAGCAATTCAAATCTATCAGTCACTCCTCAGAAACCCTATACAGGTTCTCTCTGAGTGGGAACCAACTGGGCAGCATTTAACAACAGAGTGATTATCAACCCCTAAAAGAGAACTGAGGTATAAAGTAAGGGTGATAGTGAACCTGAAAATGCAGCTGTAGGCAGTTTCTCGCATTAATAATACCAACCCATCTTAAATTCATTTCTCTATAAATGACCAGTACTACTTTTTCCTTCAGTAAAGAAGAGTTGAATAGCAGAGTAATAATAGTGTTGTTGTTTTTTAATTATTTAAGTTTTTATTGTGAATTGAGTGATAGTTTACATGGGGGAACATTGGTTTTACACTCACTGTTTCATTGCTATGATTACAATCTCCTCCATGTATCATCATTCAACAGTATTAGCTTCTATTCCCTCTGTGGTTTTTTTTGGATGTACACAAAACACTCAGGAATATATAATCATTTAAACAACTAAAGGGAACATTCTTTAAGCCTGTCTCCTGGTCACAAGCACACAGCCTTTCTCTTTCCATGAGTCTACAGTCCTCACCTGCTCTATCTCTCCATGTCCTCTTCTCTGCCTCCATCTCTGGTGTCAATGCTTCTCTGGATAAGGTCCCACATTCCACTTATGCTCTTTTCACTTGATGGTCCTAGGGTCCTCTGTTCCTGGACTGTAAGATTAACTACTCCCCCTTTTTGTTACAGAACTTCTACCTTTACTGTTGTGACAGTCACAACTAGTCATGATAACAACTACTCACTATTGAGTCATAAGAATCTTATCCCTATCTCTTTCACCAGACCCATCTAGACAGGATGAGAACTATTCAGTGAGGATCCTACCTCCCCCTCCCTCTGCACACTCGGAAACTAAACTCCCTTTTGAAAACTAAACCAGTCACTTTGTGCCTTTATAGTCCACCCCCCGCCCCAATTTTAGACAGGTAATAATGGTATTTTATGATCAATTATTCCACCACTCATCTGTCAGTTTGACTTGTGAGTTGCTGTGATTCTGAAAGCTATGTTACCAGTATTTTAAATATCAGCAGAGTCACCCATGGTGGACACGTT